GCTAGCGCAGATAGCCCTCGTGTAGTTTTGCGCGAAATTAAAAAAAAACAGTTCTCCTAGGCATGTCATTTTAATGTTATAATTACTTTAAATACTGGATTTTCGTTATAATACTGTCATTTAATTTTTTCTTAGTGCAAGTCCTGTTAATTTAATGTGAATCACGATGTCACAAAAACTAGTTAGTGATTATTACTGAACTTGCTAATACTTTGATGGAAATAAAGAAATTTAAAACTTATATTGGGATATGTTACCGTCAAAAAGACCTAATAATCCGAGTGCTTTTTGATAGTATGCAGTGTAACAAGAAAACATATAAAGTGAGTAACTTGAATTAGAAACATGTTTTTCGAAATGTGCAAACATAAAATATGCTCAAAAATAAACTAGTTGAAGCTCATCAAATATATTTTATTTATTTCATATTTCTTTATACTTTATATCTTTTGTGATAAAGCTTTGCCTTAATTATATTTGCTCCCACTGTCATAGAAAAGCAGTTCATTTCCATAACCTTTAACAACTTAATACAAAAATTAATTTCATATTCATTTTATTGTCCTTTTTGTGATTCCTCTTTACAGTTTTTACGGTTGCACAATTCCAACTAACCCCCAGTGGCACAGATAGCCCTTTGTGTAGCTTTGTGCTTAATTACAAACAACAACAATTCCAACGAACCTTACTCAATTACTGTTACTTTTACCCTCTTACTTCTATCTATTTAAAGTGGCGTCAAAAATTATGAAATATTGTTTTCCAAAAAAATCTTTTATATCACATACCCAAGAAGGAAACACGTGAAAATATGTTTTTTTCATAATTTTAAATTTGCTCAAAATACACACATTAAAATGTTTGCTGGCATATCTTGGGCTTTTATCTCGGGAAGTCTAACATGTAAATTCATCTTTAATCTTAAATGATCTGTTTCACCAACATAGAATTCACCACAATTGACGCATTTCAAACGATGTATTATATTTTTAGAATTGCAATTAAATATATTATTAATGAAAAAATGTTTTTATATTTATCTTTCTCTAAGCAGTAAAAATCTTGAGGTTTTGAGCAAATGATTCACTATTCTAAGGATTTACGTTTTTCCTTTTATTAAATTTTTTTTCTATTTTTCATAAGGGAACTTTTTCAAACGAGAAATATTTCTTTTAACAAAATACAAGTAAAAATTTGGTAGGAAAGTTAGAAATAGTTTACTGAACTTTTCAATCCATTTTCAGCAATATATATTTATTAAAAATGAGCAGTGATTTATATTCTTTACAACTCTACTACGAGGTTGCTTACATTCTGTGGAATCCTAATCCACCTAAAATGGAACTTATGCTAAATGGATTCGTAATTTCATTATAAACTGGCATTCTTCTCTCTGATTAACTCGGTATGGAAGACCAATAACAGCGTTAATACTCAGAAAATGTTTGCAGTGATAAATTAGACGTTTTCAGATCTGCAACGCTTGAGAAACATGATATTTTACAGGTCAACAGAAGTAGGGATTATTATGTGCAGGCTTGTACAGTAGGTGTTTCCTAACTAGATATATTATATTGCCAGACTTCATGTACAGAAGCGTCTGATTCAAAATAAGCACACTGAACGTTGAAGAGCTATAGAATTTTTCAAGTATTGAGTAATTGATACATCAATATAAAAAGTTTTGTTGTTGTTCACTGGTTATTTTAAGATAAACATAAATTACTTTCATTAAAAAACATATTCTGTGGAAACAATCAAAGAAAAGAATGAGTAAGATATGTTCTCCTGATTCTAAAAAGAAACGATACAGACATATTAAATTTCGACCGGTTTACTGAACCATAATAAACCTATCTACAAGAGCTATGGACAATAGGTTATCAGTTACGATGTAGAACGAAACTGATAGCTTTGAGTGTTCGAAGTTCCTTAGACGATGGTAATTTTGTTCAAATTAAAACAAAATCGCATCCATAGCTTAAGCAATTTATTGATGACGCTGTAGGATATTTTCAGTTACGTAATTAACTATCGAGTTGTTGAATAGATCCTTAAATATAACAAAAAAGGGGGGGATCACGGGGATAAAGAATTGAATTTGACTGGAGCAGACGATGCTTACGCCTATATCCTCAACCTTTTAAACTAGGGCTAGTCTGAGCAAAGCTAATCAATGAAGATGACGATGAGTTGCTACCAAGAATTAAACAGCTGAGCCTTTATATTTAATTACAACGCATTTTAAAAGCACTCCTCGAGTACAGCCGTTCAGTTCTACTGCTAAATATGTTTGAAGATATATATATATGAACAACTACATCACATAATAAGTTACATTCTAGACAGTTTTAATTCAACTGTACTTTACTCGGTCGTTACCCGGTGACCTTCTGTGTCATTTTTCAAACATTGTTACTTTATGCGCTAATATTACATGTACGTACTATTCTACTAGAAAGCTATACTAGCTAAGAATATTAAAAAAATAAACATTCTGAAATAAAAAAGAATTTATTTCATTTTGTTTATTTGTTTGTAATTAAGCACAAAGCTACACAATGGGCTATCGAAACCCAGATTTTAGCGTTGTAAGTCCGCAGACATGCCACTGTGCCACTGAGGGGCATAAAATAGAAATAAAAATATTATAACAATTATAATGTGTGAAATAATATATCGTAAGCTCATATATATCTTAAGTATGGAATGCTATAAAATGATACATAATACACCAAATCATCCAACATTTGTCAATAGCACTATTGTATTTATATCTTGTGGTGACAAGCTATTAATCTTTGAAGTTTAACAAATCTCAGATCTCGGTATATGTCATTTAAACAAATATTATTCAGTTGCTGTTTGTTGCTGTCCTAAACTTGTGGAACTAATTTGTCGTTAAAAGCGGTCTATTATATTGTAACAATCAGTTTTGGTTATAAATTATATTTTAAAGTTTACACAGTTTATAAAAGTTAGATGCACTTGTATAAAATAAAAGTTTTGTGCATAAATTAATTTTTATTTATGCTTTTGTAACCTCTATATTAGTTAAAAATCAATACTAGCAAATTTTTTCTGCTTTGGTCAATAAAGTCTTATTAGTCATTAATTTCTGTATTAATATTGTTATCACCTAGTAAGATAAAATATTATAAATGACGTTGCTTTACTTAAATGTAAGCTTCACAAATCCTTATAAACAACATATTCAGTCCAGCATACAGTAAAGATTAAATGATGTTTTATTTATAGAAAAATGTGCAACCGAAACGCATCAGACGCCCATTTAAGCCACTCTTTAACTTTTTTATTGAAACATTTTAGTGCACCATCGTAACGGATGAGAAAATCAGGCACTCTTCGTGGCATTCGCCAAAGACTTCCTGAACCTTCTCAGATGGCAGCGAATTTTGCCATTAAGGAATAATTCAAAAGATACTAACTACACTTATTTCAACTGAGTAACAAGAAATATTTGGTTAGAGTACAAAATATCTAACAAAAGCTTACCATAATTTCTCGTGATCACTGTTTCGTAAATAAAAGTTGACAACAAATTTAAAAAGATGCACTTTGACACTTGGAGCACATTCTTACGAGTTTTCTTCTTCGCAAAAAAAGAAATACTTTTATTAGACAAATCGGTCCTCGCGACTGGTCCAGCAAAGCTGCTTGCCTGAACTGCGACAGTCCGAACTCACTCTACCAGTCCGTAGCAATTCCAATGGCAGGGTAACTGAGCGCGTGCTCGCTGATTCCGCAGATATTGACGGTCATCACAAAGCGCGCGAAATGTAGCGCCACCCAGTAAAAACTGCCAACAATGGCCTCTGTTATGCTCGCCAGATAAAACCGCGAACAATGGCCTCTTTTTAGGCTCGCCAGACAGGTAGGACTATTCAAGTCTTGGGTTCGTTTAGAATGAGCTGATAAGCTGAAAATATCATTGTACATAAATATACATACTTCTAGTTGTTGAACTGGAACCTAGAGCAGATAATAAGAGTGATGAACCTCATCAGAAAAATTGATGTTAATGAAATAAACAAATATCGCGTAAAATGTTTAAACGTTAAGTTGAAAATATTATTGCACACATACCTATCTACTTTCTAGTTGTTAAACTGTAACCTACAGCAGTTGATACGAATGATGAACATCATCAGAAAAATTTATATTGATGAAACAAACGAACATCGCATATATTGTAGAGCATAATTTACACACTGGTGTGTCCCTTAAATCATGAAGATATTTTCTTTATAGGAAGCCAGACATTTACACATTTACGATACTTTGTTGGAGTTTTATTATCAAATAGTCAACACTAAAGTAAACCAGGAAGGTTTTTCAAATTTATTTGGTCTTTATATATATATACAAGTGCAAATGAATGTGAAAGAAATACGTTAAGCATAGGTCTCGTTAGGTGCAAGTGCACCATTAAGCAAATGTCTGTAAACGTAAAATATAGCAACATTGAGCTCTGATTTGTTGTCCAAAGTAGGCTCAAACAGGAAAAGTACTCTAACGATGTAACATTCACAGCTTCGATGGCAAACACTATTAAACATATCACAGGGGCAGAAGAGGGAACAAAGATCCTTAAAATGATAAAAATATAAAATATCGTGCCTTTATCAGGTTAAAAAAATTCTATATTATCTAATCTGTAGTATTATAGATACTTTTTATTAAAACAACCAAACCATAATTGGTTGTTTTAATAATAATTCTATATTATCTAATCTGTAGTATTATAGACACCTTTTATTAAAACAACCAAACCAGTTTTTATAAGGAAATACAAACATATTCATCCATTACATTATTTACATGACCAATTTATCATTCTTATCAGTAACATCTATAAATAATACACACAGCGGTATATCTGCGGACTTACAATGCTAGAAACCGGGTTTTAATACCCGTGGTGGGCAGAGCACAGATAGCCCATTGTGTAACTTTGTGCTTAACTTCAAACAAACAAACAAATTATAACACAAGCCTGTGATGGTTTAATTATCTTGAAATTTTTATATGTTCTACAGTAATTCCTGTACACTGAATTCGAAAATGATATCCATTTTTCTCCATCGCGTACAGATTTTTCACAAAACGTCATAACGCAATACATAAAAGAAAGATTCATTTGTTTGTAATTAAGCACAAAGCTACACAATGAGCTATCTGTACTCTGCCCACCACGGGTATCGAAACCCGATTCTAGCGTTGTAAGTCCTCAGACATACCGCTGGGGGGAGGGCACTAAATAAAGATCTTCATACAACAATTTGATACCGAAAATTTTAAAGAAATTATAAGGAGCCACAGAAATTATCCCAGATACAAATAGAATATTAACCAGCTCTGAAATTACTTAAAGCTAAACTAGTTTCACTAAACAAATAGAATATTAACCAGCTCTGAAATTACTTAAAGCTAAACTAGTTTCACTAAACAAATAGAATATTAACCAGCTCTGAAATTACTTAAAGCTAAACTAGTTTCACTAAACAAATAGAATATTAACCAGCTCTGAAATTACTTAAAGCTAAACTAGTTTCACTAAGCAGCCAGAAACACCTTTCAAAATAATACAACGAAGCCATTTTAGGACTTTTCTATCACCATACAGATCTGTGGAGCTATTTTAAAGATTTCTATATAAATTTACAGATCTCTAAAACTTGTTTGCAGCGCTTTTATCAGTGTACAGATCTATAAAGCGTTTTTATCAGTGTCCAGATCTGTAAAACTTGTTTGCAGCGCTTTTATCAGCGTACATATCTATAAAGCGTTTTTATCAGCGTACAGATCTGTAAAGCTACCTTGCAGCTTTGTTATCAATATACAGATCTGCAAAAATATTTCTCCAGTTGTGTCATAAGAATATAAATCTGCAACGCTATATTTCAGCTTTTTTTTTACCAACATACAAATCCGAAACAAATGTTTGAGTCTTGTTATAAGCAAATAATCTAATAGCTAATGTGTTAAACTTTATAAGAGCCATAAAAATTTTACGAGCTCAGAAGAAATAAGTTTATGTACAAACAGTACAGAAAGTCTACAACTCAATAATAAGGTGTCAGTTTGTAAGATACGTAAATGTCGATTACCAGATTTTAACGAGATACTCTGTCTTAATACAAATTTGAGAGCTGCCTTCCGTTAACTTATGTTTAAATTTGAATAAATACAAGTTGACTACTATAAGTTTTCAATGTTCTCATCTCAAATATGTCATTAAATAAACTTATTATAAACTTATTGTGCAAATAAAATTAAATGTTTGTTTGCTTTTCTGTACATGGGTGGCCCAAAAATTAGATGTTTCAAAGTAGTATATTTGTTTGTTTGTTTATAATTAAAATCAAAGGTAAACAACACGCTATCTGTGCTCTGCCCAACACTAGCGTTGTAGGTCCGTATACATACCGCTGTGCCATTGGGGGGCCAGAATTATTTGTTTTGAATTTCGCACAAAGCTACACGAGGGCTATCTGTGCTAGCCGTCCCTAACTTAGCAGGGTAAGACAAGAGAGAGAAGGCAGCTAGTCATCACCACCCACCGCCAACTATTGGGCTGCTATTTTACTAACGAATAGTGGGATAGACCGTCACATTATAACACCCCCAAGGCTGAAAGGGCGAGCATGTTTGGTGTGATGCGGATTCGAACCCGCGACCTGCAGATTGCGAGTCGAGCGCCCTAACTACCTGGCCATGCTTGGCCAGAAGCACTGCTTTAGAACACAATTTGACAAGATGAATTATTCTTCTAGCTCTGTTACGACAATACAATCTGTCATAATTTCACTTCAGAATCACCTTTATAACTGTTAGTTAGCACAGTTGTATCCAGAGCTTTAAAGAATTGCCTCTTTAAAGCATGTTTGGTGGGACGGAGATTCGAACACGTGACCCTCAGATTGCGAGTCAAGCGTCGTAATTATCTGGCCATACTGGGCCTAACTACATTCATTATCCTAAAAAATTATTTTACATCATATGGTAGCTCCCCAGGGGCACATCGGTATGTCTGCGGACTTACAATGCTACAATCCGAGTTTCGATACCCGTGGTGGGCAGAGCACAGATAACCCATTGTGTAGCTTTGTGCTTAATTACAAACAAACAAACAAACAAAGCATAGATTCTGCTTCAATTAAGTTATTAAGAAAAAATAAAGGATTATAATAATATTAGTGAAGTTGGTTGCCTTTAGTATCAATCTGCATTGATAATAGGCAATAATTAATGACATAGCTCACTTTGCCTTCATACGTGGTGTTCTTAACAGCAAGTTATGCGAACAAGCGTTAAATGTCCAAGTCAGAGACCCCTAGATTTCGGACATAGCTAGTGACAAGAGGGAATGCAACTAATCGGCAGCTCCCGCCGCCAAAAGGGTTTGACAGGCTTTGAACCAAATAACGGGTTTGGCTGACACCCATTATAAAGCACCCACGGCAAAAACTACGAAACATATTCAGTTGATTGTCACTCTTATAACTCACCCACAGCTTAAAGTGTGGGTGTATTCAGGAGCATCACAGCACCAGCCTAGGGCATTACGATCCGAAGCCCGGGAAGCTAACCATTAGACCATGTCCTGCCCGGCGTTTTTATTATTTTCGACAAAAAATGATCTCTTTTATTAAGTATTTTGCTATGTTTAGTAATGTATTGACAACAGTGCATTTATACTTATCACAAATTATGGTAATCGAATTTAATGAATCTAGCCGTTTCTCTCTATATACAAAAACTTTATTTTTCTCTTTTTTTGTGTGTGTTTTCGTTATGTTTATATTTCAATTTCAATAGCAGTTTGTGACTGAAGATTTGTTTCTTTGTTTGTTTCTTTGAAGTTAAGCACAAAGCTACACATTGGGCTATCTGTGCTCTGCCCACCACGGGTATCGAAACCCGGATTCTAGCAAACTGAAGAATAATGCACATTTTGTAAAAGGAATATAAAGATATAAACTTTTTTCTGGCTAATAGACATATTTATGTAAAATAACACAAAATACAGCAATAAATTAATAAAAAATGGCCCTGAGGGTCGCGGGTTGGAATCCCCGTCCCACCAAACATGCTCGCCCTTTCAGCTGTGGGGTCGTTATAAAGGGCCGGTAAATCACACTATTCGTTGGTAAAAGATTAGCCAAAGAGTTGGCGGTAGGTGGTGATGACTAGCTGCCTTCCCTCACTGCTAAATTAGGGACGGCTAGCGCAGATAGCTCTCGTGTAGATTTGCGCGAAATTCAAAAAACAAAACAAACAAACAATTAATAAAAATAAAATTTCAATAACATAATCATATAAATGACATATAAACCGATGAGTTATATATCTCAACAATTTTTGTATATATTGTTACCTTCCAAGTGTACTTTCCAAAAAGACTGCCGTAACAAATTTAATCAAAAAATATTCAAAGAATATTTAAAATGTTGAATTCCAAAACATTCCATAAGTTGGAGACACTTTGATTCCCATAGCTGTACTAGATTTTTCCAATGAAATTTTCCATTTTAACAAAACAGTTACAGAATATATATATTTTTGAAATATAACATGGAAAAATTACTGAGTCTATATTACAACAGAAGTTGTGATTATCTGACAATACCCCTTAATACCTGGAAAGTA